ACTTCATTTATAAGAAATTTTTAGAGTTGGAAAAATCCATACAGGCAGGAAGTAGATCAGTGCTTTTTAGCATCTAAAGGGAGAGAAGGATAAATATAATTTCTTTTTAGAGGTGACAAAATTATTATGGAATGATAATATCTCATCTTGTGAATGTACTAAAGCCCACTTAATTATTGGCATAAAATTATGAGCTTTATGGTCTAGGTCTTATATCTCAGGGAAAAGAGGGTCCAGAGAACAAGCAGCTCCACCACAGTGGAGATATGGACAGTGGACAGTGAGATATGGTGTTACTCCTCGAGAACAATAAATTTCTCTATGGCCGTAGGCATCACTCAGGATACAAAGTAGTCCAAGAAATATGCTAGTTATTTTACCAGAAACTTCTTCCTCTTAAAGTTTTTCATTTCTCCTACATCATAGCTTGATAGAAAGCTTAGGGGAAAAGAAGACTGGTTCTATAGTTTGATAGCCATGATGATGGTGTTGGGAGGTGCTGTGGCCCTTTAACCTGTGGATCTTTTAGAAGGTCTTTAGATCATTGGTTGCATCCTCTCAAAGAATACCATGTGTCTTCATCTTTTCTGCTTCCCGGTTCATGATGTGAGCAACTTGTAACACTTTAATGTGCTGCCTTTGCCAGAGGCCCAAACAAATGGAATCCCTAATCTAAGACTTCAGCCTCTAGAAACACGAGCCAAATAAACTTCCCTTTACTTCATAAGTAGGCAGCATTAAGAATTTCTTTTAGCGTTGCAAAATATATTAATGAAGTTGAGCAGGATTTTATGTGACCCTGGCTCCACACTCAGAGGAAATCACCTTGCTTCCATCCCAACTCATTTCCCTATGTGTCATGTTCCTGATTGCCTCCAGATGTTTGCTGGTCCAATCTTTTCCCATGTTGCTTCCTAGAGGACAGGTCTAGGGGCATATACTATTTTACCACTTCTGACCTTTCAGATTTGGGAGCTAGACAACTCTTCAAAGAGTATTAAAGAAAGGTTTTATCTCTTTAACTAGAGGAAATATGTCATTTTTAAACTAGAGGGATGCTTTATGTGGTGTAGGTTACTATTCCAGTTCATTAGCCAGATCACCTCCTTTGAAATTGCTCCTATGTAATTCACTAGCTATATAACCCAGAGATTAATGGTTCTTTGCTTCAGGTTGTCATCTAATCTGTAAAATAGGAAAAAACCAAATTCCTACTTTAGTGACTTTTAAGATGTAAGTCAGAAAATGTATATTCCAGTTCATATGGCCAACAGTGATGAGTATTTTTCTATCAATGGGAAAGCCATGTTTATGCAGAAAGTAGGACTCCAGAGAAAGTGGACTTCACAATAGAATTACCAGACAGCCTTGCCACATCCTACTTTTTTCTTGTCATATCCTCTTTTGAATTTTAATATGTATTAATATACATTAAGTGTACAAAATATTTTCACTACAACATTTTCATATAGATAAATGGTAATTTGATGGTATGTATACTCCTGTCACAACAATTTAATTCCACCCCTGCTAGTTTCCTCCCTATTCCCTAGTAGCTCCCCATTAACATTTCTCTCTCCCTTCCCTCCTTCCTTACCTCCCTTTCTCTCTCTTCAAAAACATGTAACATTTTTCTTTCTAGGTCTAGCATATTTCACTTCATACAGTGACCTCCAGTTCCATTTATGTTTCTGAAAAAAGACGGGATTTTATTCTTAATAGCTGAGTATTAATCCATTATGTATATGGTCCACGTTTTCTTCATCCACTCATCCACTGATGGCCAATTAGGCTGATTCCATTACTTGGCTGTTGTGAATAGTGCAATAGTAAGTACGAGTATGTAGGTATCTCTATTTTATGATTATTTGGATCCCTTCATGTATATACCCACGAGTAGTATAGCTGGATCACATGGTAATTCTTCTTTTCTGGTTTTGAAGGGATCTATATACTAATTTAAAAACCCATCAAGAGTATATAAATGTTCCTTCTTCCCAGAATCTTCCCCAGTACTTGTTTTTGGTTTCCTTGGCAGTCATTCTGACTACAATAAGATGGAATGTCAATGTAGTTTTGATTTGCATTTCTCTGGCAGCTAAAGAGATTGATCACTTTTATACACTTACTGGCAGTCTATATTTATTTTGAGAACTGTATGTTCACTTCAGTTGCCCATTTATTGATTGGATAGTTTGTTAACTTGGTGTTTAAGTTTTGAACTCTTCATATATTCTAGATATTAATCCCTTATCAGATTAATAGCTGACAAAATCTCTCCCTATTCTGTTGCTGTCTCTTCATTCTGGCAATTGTTTCCTTTGATATGCAGAAGAATTTTTATTTTATATAATCCCATTTGTCAATTCTTTTCAATATTTCTGAGCTATTGAAGTCCTATTTAGACAGTCATTGCCTGCACAATATTTTCAAATGGTTTCCCTATGTTTTCATCTAGGATTTTGAAAGTTTTAGTTCTTACATTAAAGTCTTTTATCCACCTTGAGTTGGTATTTTTCTTCATACAGCTTCTCATGTAACCCAATCTGGCCTTAGACTTTGAACTCCTGGCTCTCCTGCCTCCACTTCCTAAGTGCTAAGATTTCAGTCATCTACAACTAAATCTGGCTTGAGCTTTTATATAGAGTGAGAGGTAGGAGTCAGGTTTCAGTCTTGTGCATGAATATCAGTTTTCTTAGCACCAGTTGTTAAAGGGATTATCTTTTCCCCACTGTAAGTTTTTGGCACTTCTGTCAAAATTCAGATGGCTGTAGCTGCAAGGATTTGTTTCTGAATCTTCTGTTCAGTTGCTTTAGTCCACATGTCTGTTTGTCTGCCCATGTAATGTTTTGTCGTTGTTGTTTTTTTATCACTAAAGATCAATAAAATAACTGAGGTCAGGTATTGTGATATTTTCAGCATATCACAACATATCAGCACAATATTTTATTTTTGCTCAAGATAGCTTTGTCTATAGGGTTTTTTGTGCATCCACATGAATTTTATATATTTCCTAGTTCTGTGAATAGTGTTACTGGAATTTTATTGGTAATTGCATTGATTATGTTGTATACTTAAGTAATATGGCCATTTTGAAATATTAATTTTGCCAATCCGATAGGATGCATTTCCACATTGTTCAATTTCTTTCTTTGGGTCTGAAGAGATGGCTCAGGGGTTAAGAGCACTGGCTTCTCTTGCAGAGGAAATGGGTTTGATTCCCAGTACTCACATGACAGCTAACAGCCATCCATAATTCCAGTTCCAGGCAATCCGATGCCCTCTTCTGACCTCCGTGGGCATTGCATGACATGGGTGCAGTTACACATATGCAGGCAATACACTCACACACACAAAATAAAAATAATAAAAAATTTTTAATTCTTTGTTGTTTTACAATTTTCTTTATATAGTCCTTTCATATTTTTATTATGTTTATTCATAAATATTTTGGTAAGTGCTGCTGTGAATGTGATTTATTTCTTGGTGAATTTATTGTTACTGTATAGAGTGTTGATTTTTTTTATAATTTTGTATCCTGCTACTTTTACTAGAAGCGTTTATGGCATGTAAGAGTCTTCTAGTGGAGTCATTAGGCTACTTTAAATATAAGATCACATCTGCTACAAATGGAGATGACTTTATTTCTTTCTTTCTGATCCCTATCCCTTTTGTTTCCTTCTCTTGCCTGATTGCTCAGACTAAGATTTCAGCCCTGGATGAGTAGTAATAGTGGACAACCATCTCTTGCTCCTGATTTTAGAAGAAATACTTCCAGCTTTCTCCAATCAGTATGTTGGCTGTATGTCTTTCATATATAACTTTATCATTTTGAGCCATGGTTTTCTACAAAGGTTTTATTATGAATGATGCTGAATTTTATATGATATGTGATTTTGTTTTTTGTGTATGTGCATTATTAAATTTATTCTTTTGCATATGCTGAACCATTTTTGCAGCCTTAGAATGAATCAAATTTCATCATGGTGTGTGATATTTTTCTTAATTTATTATTTTTATTTTATGTGTATGAGTGTATGGCCTACAAGAAGGTAGGTGCACCCGTGTTGTGCAGTGCCCAATGGGGTCAGAAGAAGGCATCAGGTCCCCTGGAACTGAAGTTACAGATGATTGTTAGCCACAATGTGGGTGTTGGGAATCAAGCCCCAGTCCTCTGCAAGAGCAGCCAGTATTCTTACCCCCTGAGCCATTTCTCGAGCCCCCATGGTGACTGATTTTTAAAGTGTGGTTTAATTCATCTTGCAAGCACCTTATTGAGGATTTGTACATTTATTTTCATTAATGCAATTGGCCTACACTTTCTCTCTTGCTCTCTTCCTCCCCTCGCCCCCGTGTGTGTGTGTGTGTGTGTGTGTGTGTGTGTGTGTGTGTGTGTGTGTGTGTGTGTGTGTGTGTGTGTGTGTGTGTGTGTGTGTGTGTGTGTTTCCTTATTCAGTCTTGATATCAGGGTAATATACTGACTTTATGCAATGATTTCTATTTTCTGGAATAGTTTGAGTTTGGTTCTTGTGAATTCTTCTTCACATATCTTTACAACTCAGTATTGAATCCATCCAATCCTGAGCTTATCTTTGTTGAAAGACTCCACCTTACTCATGTTCCTGCTTCATTTTCATCACTTGTTATTGACCTGTATAGGTAGTTGTTTATATCTTCTTGGCTTAATTTTGGTGAGTGGTATATTTATTCATTTCTTCTAGATTGTCCAATGTATTGGAATATATGCCTTCAAACTATTCCCTAATGAGCCTCTGGATCTCAGTGGCATCTGCTTAATACACCCTTTTATCTCTAATTGTGATTTGAGTCTTCTGTCTTTCTTTGGTAGTTGGACAAAGGGTTTGTCAATCTTGTTTATCCTTTCAAAGAACCAACTCATTGCTTCACTGATCCTTTCTATTGTTCTTTCAGTTTCTGATTGATTAATTTCACATTAGATCCTTATTATTTCTTCATTCTACTAGCTTCAGAATTGCTTTATGGACTTGACATTCATAGCATCCACCCAACAGCACCAAGAGTGCATATTCTGTGCAGCCCATGGAACTTCCTCCAAACTAAATCATAAAGTAAGTCTTAACAAACACAAACATATTGAAATGACTTCTTAAGTTTTATTAGATAATAATTGAATAAGCTAGAAATCAATAGTAACATAAGTACAGAAAATATACAAGCATATGAATACTGAATAATACACATTTGAACAATCAATGGATTATCAAATTTAAGAAGGAAATTTTTAAATTCTTAGAATCAAATGGAAATGGAAACATGACATATTTGACTCTGTAGGATACAATGAAATTTATTTTAAGAGGGAAGTTTAGAGCCATAAATATCTACATTAAATAATGTAGGGAGATGCCACATAAATAGCCTAATGATACACATTAGTGTGTTCCCATTATTTTTATGAGCATCTAACCCTGGCACTCATGAGTGTAAAACTGGTGTATTTTTAATGAGAGAGAAATATTGTGTCTTTAAAGCTCAAACAACTTATTTTTCTGTTTACTCTTTTATATGAAACATTAAAAAAGCTACCATTTAAAATGACCCTTATTTTTTTTCCATTGCTCTTCTCCCTGCTAGCATGTCAGTACAGAACGATAAATAGCATTTCTCCCATTATCTTCAGCAATAGAAAAGTCTGGGATAGCTGCAAGAGGCATCAGAGGTAACAGAGAGGCAAGGCAGAGCATCACGGAGAGGTAAGGGAGCCCTGTTCTTCAGCATCTCCTGAGACCTCTTCAGTATCTCTTTGGATTAAAATTAGAACAATGTTCCCTTTCACATAAAATAATTACTAAAGAATTTGGTAGGATGAATGATATTTTTCAGAACCAAAAACTAGCTTTTTAGTGGTTTGGTATCTGAAGTATGCCTAAAAGGCACAACCTAAAATAAGAAAGATAGTTTTTATTGGGATAAATTGGAGGAGATATCATATGGGAGAATAAAGTAGACAGGAATGTGGAAAAGTTGAAATATCATTGGTATTAGAAAGCACTTATATGCATTTCAGATGACTTAGGGATTGACAGTTTTTGAAAATCTATGATTTGTCCTATGGCAAAAAAAAGAGAGAGAAGTACAGCAGTCAGATATTAATCCTGTCTTTTCTCACAAATTTGCATGTGCAAAAAAGTTAACCTGGTTATGAAATCTAAAGCTGACTTACCTGAAATGCCACTGAAATGACGAGGCACTGGAGGCAAGACGAGAGGTATATATTCCAGATCTCACGATCCACGCATAGGCTCGCAGGCTCCCTTGCCCTCTACTTCCTCCAGAAACGCAGGTAAGCACCTCCAGCTACTACAGCTCAACACTATGAATTACTTTTAGGGTAGCAATGATGTGTTTTATGTCATGCATATATGTTATTCTGCCTGATTGCATTTGTCTTGTTCTGCCGGGGAAAACTTAAATATCTCCTTCATCTAATTTGTCCTTTAAATAATTTATCTTCAACTAAATGCGCATACCCTTACAAGCACATAGGGATTGTTTCTGGCATCTACAGCATCCTGAAGGAAAGTTAAGATGTGAGTTTTGACATCCAGCTGGGTGCTACCTGCAGAAATCTTCAGCTTGGCATTCATTATAAAACCTTTCTACCCAAAACTAGCATAGTGAACAAGGAAATATAAAGATTTTTATTTTAATTACTGATCAACATCTTAAAGAGAATATCTTCTTGACTCTACTAATGAAGAGATTAATACATGTACATTATGGAGGGCTTGAAATATATACAAATATAATGATAACTTTATTTGCCAGAGTCTTCTAACTCAAGTATATTAGTTCCTTAAAGAACTTTTCATTACAGAGTGATGCTCTATTCAGTAGTCATTCTAAAATGAACCTGATGTTTTTCTAGGACTTTCATATCATACCAAAGGTCACCACAAACTCACTTGGTGAAGCAAATATGAAGTTCGCACTAGATCTGTACCAGCAGCTCAGAAAATCAGAGGACAATGTTTTCTATTCTCCTGTCAGTGTCATGACGGCATTAGCAATGCTCCGGCTTGGAGCCAAAGGAAACACGGCACAAGAAATTGAGAAGGTGGGTGTGAGCTTCATTCTGTTGACCAGTTTGAGCTTGTCTCTCCATTACTGTCAGTTAATGAATAGACAGGTGGTGATAGAGGCCTGAGGGGAAGTACGGAACGCTGAGCAGGCATGGCTGTAGCTGAAAACACACCCTCCCGATACGCTGCCTATCTGCTTTCTGAATAAGATGTCCTTTGGATGCTAAGATGATCTCTTTCAGTAGTACAAGCGGAAATGAACTTAAAATGTGACAACTACCAATGCAAGTGATGGATCGGCTTAATTCTAAGGGACCTATAAGCGGAGATTCCCTGGGCACTGAGTGGATGAACATTCACTCAAGGCACTGGTGATAGATTATCTTCTCTGTGTTTTTATACTCTTGTCCTAAAGTTTGGAGAAACTTTTTTCTACTTTTAATTTGTTATTTTTTTTAAGGGTTTTCTTTTTTTCCTGTGATTTAGACAAATATTTTAAGTATTCTTGACCCACTTGTCTCCTGCAGGTCCTTCAAGTCAATGAAGCCACAAAGAAGACAACAGAAAAGGGTACAGCCTGCCAAGTGAGTCCAGGGCACTTTGACTCTAGAAGGGTTTCAGAAGAAAAGTGATAGTGGAAATTTCACATAAACTGAGAAAAAGCCGTTTTACAGGAAATCCCAAACAAAAGAGATTAGAGCGTACAGCATAGTGTCATATTTCATTTTCAAAGTCACTATTTTCATGCTTCTGTTATAGCCACAGAAGCTCAGGGTTGGATCAAGAGCAGGAGAGGCCACCTTCAGCTCTGACTCCGCTCCTCACAGATGGGGAGCATGAGCAAAGCACAACTGCCCTGGATCAGGGCGAACTCATCCCAGTACACTGGGGCCAAAACAGAATCCGACTCTGTGTGCAAACATTTACACCAATGTCCTCCTGTAACTAGGAAATCATAATTAGTGTTTATTATTGTAAAATGACAGTAGTTGTCATTGTTACAATAATGTTACTAAAACAATTTTATCTGAATTATTCAACCATTCTACCAAGAGAAATAAGAACACATGCAGGTATATTTTAGAAAATGAGGGACAGCAGTTAAGAGCACTGGCTCTTGTTGCAGAAGACCCAAGTTCAAATTCTAGCACCCAAATGGCAGCCAATAGCCAACTATAACTTCAGTTCCAGGAGATCCGATGCCCCCTTCTGTCCTCTGTGGGCACTCCACAACATGGGCTCACTTATACACATGCAGGCATAACACTCATACACATAAAAGAAAAATAAATAAATAATTTTTTAAGAAAATGATAACTAGGACATCTGTATTGGTTTAGAGCCTTAATAATGCAAAACTCTTAGCTGGATAATAGAATTCAGAACTGCTTAGGTTAAAAAATTGACTCTGGTAATTTGCTTTTAAAGAGATAATTTAATTCTCTGAGATTTCTTGTTTACATCTGGATTGGACTAAGACTTAGATTAGTGATATGTAGTCCTTAGGTAAATACCAGACACTATTATTCCTACATGCAGAGAATGTACAGGATGAGGGAAAAGTCATAGATCACAGTCAGCTTGTCTTAGATAATACCACCAAAGGGTATAATAGGGTTTCAATCATAATGCATTTAAACTATGCAAACTTCCACGTATCCATATCCTGATGACTGTTAGAAATGAAGTATAGTCTGTACCCTTGAAGAACTTGGAATGCTATCTGCAAAGTCAAACCTAATCATTTAAGCCAGTGAATAGACAGCTCAAAAGTATTTCATCTTTAGTTCAAAAGACAATAGATTGGAAAATATTAAAACAGAAAGAAAGAATTTTCTGGAAGAGATGGAAATATTTAAGATAAAATATAGAAAATACCAACAAAAACAAAAAGTCATCTTTGAGATTACCAATGTTTAGGTATTGACTTTGTGAATTTAGTATTTATATTGGCAAATTACTTTAACGAACACCCTTTTTGACACTGAAGGATGAAAAGTCAGAAAATTTCCATCACCACTTTCAAAAGATTATGACTCAATTAAACAAATCCACTGATGCCTATGACCTGAAGATTGCCAATCATATCTATGGAGCAAACACTTTTCAATTTTTCCAGGTAAGTTTCACCCGACTCTGCACACCTTTAATATGCATCCTAGGTGTTAGATTTCTAAATGGTCATAAGGATTGAGGCACACAAACTAGGCTGATTCATGAAGCACCAGCTCCATCTTCACAGCTCTACTCCACTGAAATTTACCAGATCCTAGCAATGCCATGTGTCAAGTGTAGGCCAAAGGATTATTTCATGGAAAGAGAGGATGTTGGTCAGCAGAGTTGGTCATGAGATGTCATTAATGACCCATCACTGACTCAATCGTAGATACTATGTTTTAGCAGGAAATGTATGACCAATGGGATTGCTGGAATGAGCAGGCTTTGATAAATCCCTGGAGAGAGCTGGGAAAGTACCAGGGTTGGGGATGTTTCCAGGATGGAAGACAACCCCAAGGGATGAATTTACTGGTCGGGCACAAATCATCAGGAGCAAATCATCTCCCTTAGAGCAGCTTCTGATGAAATTTACAAGTCACAGCCTAGTCTCCACCTGCCTTTTTCCAGATAGTATTGCCTTCAATGACCTCCTTGTACCAGCCACATTTCCTAGCTGGTATCTGAATACAAATATGCATGCTCATAGGATAATAGATTTGGTCAGGGTTAGCCATCAGCTTATTATAATCGCAAATAATGAAATTTGGGTAGTGCATTTAATTCCTTTTTCTTTAACTCTCAAAGGAATATTTGGAAGACATTAAGAAATTTTACCTAGCCAATGCAGAATCTCTTGATTTTGTAAATGCTGCAGAAGAAAGTCGAAAGAAAATTAATTCCTGGGTGGAAAGCCAAACAAATGGTAACGTATGAGGAAGTCACAAGATAGAAACAATTTTAGTACTCTGTGAGTAAGCCCTGTGCTTAGCACAGCCTGGAGTGCTGGAGTGCTGGAGTGATTGCTGAGGTGGGTTTTCAGAGATCTCAGATGGTCATAGTAAATAAATATCAATTGAGCCAAGGAAAACTATGAAGGAAATCACAGGAAGCCAATTAATAAAAACAAAGCAAGAGAATCATTTATATATGACCTGGGTGCCAGTATCTTTGTGATCTCAAATCTCCAGACACGTTTTGATCTCACATCTTTACTCAAAGTCAATTTTGGATATTTAAGAGAAAACGTCTCTTTTACTAATCAGAGAAACAAGCGCATTTCTTGTCATCTCAACTGGAGCTTCAAGACCACATCCCTACTCAGACCTGGAGGGTTTTATCACACAGTCTTCTCCATCTGTGGCAGAGGTCTCAACAAAGTCTCCATTCTGTAGACACCTGTCCCCTCTCTTACCTTTCATTATAGGCCAAACCTACAGCAATCCAGCATGAAATTGAATAGGAAGAACCCACAAGGAGTAGTGTCTGACAGCATGGGGAGTGTGTTTCAGACTATAGAGCTCATTTGTGCTAAAGAACAATCAGGCTTATTATCTCTGAGTATTGAGCCTCAAAATGGAAAATATATATACAGGAAGGAAGTTGTTGAGAGAGAAATGAGGGAGAACAGTTGACAGAGTGGATAAAGTCTGTTTGTCTGTATTCACTGTGAATCTTATGACAAGAAATGGTCTTTCCAGCATAGTCGCTTTCATGGCACTATGAGGAACTCCGCACATTGCGAATAAGTCAATGAGTCTTGAAAGTAATGACCTGGGTGAACAAGTGATAGTGACCAAAGGTGAACTCTTGTAAAGCATCTTCCAGAGAAACCGCTTGTGCATTCACAATAAACACTTTTGTTCTTTCCCTTGCAGGAAAAATCAAAGACTTATTTGGCAGCGGGACTCTGAAAAGCAACACTGTACTGGTTCTGGTGAATGCAGTCTATTTCAAAGGACAGTGGAATCATAAATTTTATGAAAAGCGTACTAAAGAAGGAAAATTTTGTCTGAACCAGGTATTGTCTGTAGTTTATTTACATAATGTGATATGTGATATTTAGAAGATTCAGTTTAAACACGATGGGATATCCCACTAAAAGTACAAAATATACCATTGTGTCTTCTTTAATTCTATGACTTTATTTAGTTCAAAATGCCTAAGGGACCTTTTGTCTATACGTCACAAACTTTTAGTGTTATCTCTTCAAGGGATTTTATGCTTGGTCTCTTAATCATATTATTTGTTTTGTCTTCTATCTCCTTTAATATTTCTTTGGCACATTAATCTGTTGCAGAATACGAGCAAATCTGTGCAGATGATGCAGCAAAGGAATTATTTCAACTTTGCCTTACTGGAGGATGTACAAGCCAAAGTCCTAGAAATACCGTACAAAGGAAAAGAGCTAAGCATGTTCGTGCTGCTGCCAAATGAAGTTGATGGTCTGAAGGAGGTAAGATTTACATCCTTTCATTGCCTGATTTCTTCCTAAGGTACCAAATTTAAATAAGACACTAATAAAAATGATTAAATAATAAAATAATGAAAACTTTAAAGAAGATTTTGTGTTTCACCTACATTTTACAAATATTTTACATAGATCCTGACACACACTGAAGGCTTAACTAATTATTAAGTAGAGTTAGACACATTAAATATCAATTTGATGGCACTAATATACAACAATTTAAACTTAATTGAGAAAAACATGGTAATATGGAAAGTGTTGGAAAAATAGGTTATGTATGTAATAATATGTATAGGAAACTAAAAGAAGCATCTATTAAAATAATGCATAGTTGTCTGGTAACATAAG